CCCCCTGAGCCTTCTCTTCTCCAGACTAAACCCCCCAGGTCCCTCATGCCTTCCTGATCAGACTTGTGCTCCAGGCCCTGCACCATCTCTGGCGCCCTTCTCTGCCCCTTCTCCAGCACCTCAGTGTCTTTCTTGTAGTGAAAGACCCAGAATTGAACACAAGATCACTCCATCCCTTCGCTGCCCGGGGATCCCACAAGCACACTCCATCCCCTGAAGCATTCCAAACCCTCCAGCTCTGAGGATTGCCAACCCTGGCCTCGGGCTCCAGTGCTCTCTTTTGCTCCTGCGTGCTGGTATTTTGCAGTGACCCCATCTCTGTCTCTCTCTTGCAGCTTTGACTACGGAGACAGGTTCTGGGACATCAAAGGCAAATTCTTCAGCTGTCAGTGCGGTTCACCCAAGTGCAAACACTCGAGCTCAGCGCTGGCCCAGCGGCAGGCTAGCACCTCGTCCCAGGACACACAGGAAAACGGGCTCCCCGACACCAGCTCTGCCACAGCAGCCGGCCCCTTTTGAGGCTCCGCTCCCCAGAGACTGACTCCTTTTAACCCCATAGATTCACATACTGTCTGAATTTCCATTTAAAGAGAAAAAAATGAAAAAACACACAAAAAAAGCCCTCTCCAGGAAAGCCAAGAGTTTGTGACACTTAGGGCTGTGCCACTGACTGTTACTTGAGGAATAAGTAAAAGCAAATCCCGCCTCCGTGATGATGTTCTCCCCTCCCTGGGCCTGGAAAGCTGCTGGGTTTCACAGTGTGGAGGGGTGGCTGGTGCAGTTTTCTTCTCCATGCAAACTGTCCTGGCCTCCTTCTCTTAATGTGCTCTAAGTGTTGTCCAGGGGAGAGCCGCCCGGCCTTGGAATATTCACTGAATGGATTGCTCATGCCAAGTCATCTCCAGTTCACTTGGAATAAACTTTGAGTACTTGATGGGGCTTTGTTTCTAAGCAGAGGGAGGGAGGGAGGTGCTGGCGTTCGGGGTGCTTGGCACAGCCCCGGGGCAGGTTCTGCTGGTTGGTTTTTGTTGGTTTGTTTGGTTTTTTGGTTGGTTGGTTGTTTTTAATCGTGAATTTCCCCCACATCTCACAGGACGTTGTGGTGGGCCCTTCCTTAGGAGCTAGAGGGAATTCCTAACAAATACCCTCCTTGTTCCCAAATCCACCGGTTTCTTTCTCTTCCAATGAGAGGAAACCCATGGTCCTCACAATCCTTTTGGTCCTTGGCTCTCCCTGAGCCAACCAGAGATGCTTCCCCTGAGCCTGGGCTCCCTTTGGGCTTTCTCCATCAGGAACCAGCTCTCGTCCACCCACTGGGCCCTGTTACTGTCTCCATGGAAGGATTCCTCTCGCCCCGTCGCTTGAGCTGTAGAGAGGGAAGGTCGAAGGGGATCGTACAAGACACTAAACTTCTTCAGCAAATCAGGTTTTTCCTTGTTTTTATAAACATTAATTGAATGATAAATGTATTCTAGAGGACCTCGACTCGCGTTGGGGCGAAGAGCAGACGGGCCGTGCAACGGTGAGGACGTCCCAGCTGCCACCAGCTCCTCTGTTCCCATCCCTTCCCTCAACGCTGGGCACCTTCGATTCATTTTTAAGCCACACGCTATGAGGTTCCAAGGAACTGATTTATTTTTTACCATGACGTTGGGGACTGGCGTTAAAAACTACGAAAGATAAAATAATAAAAACCCATTAAAAAAAAACAAACCCCAAGAACACCCCCAAAAAAAACCAAAACAACAACAAAGAGAAACCACACAACAAAACGGTGCTGATTCTGGTGTGATTTTTGCTCACCACGTGAATATAAACTTATCAATTGTATAAAAAGAACAAAGTGATTTTAGTATAAAAATGCAGGAAAAAAACCTTTTTTTAAATTGTTAGTATTGTAGTGTGAATAAAATTTGCCATCACCTTTTGTGTGGTGGCTGCGCAGGTCATTACCTTCAGTTTTGTTCTGTTTCTTTTTTTTTCTGTTTGTTTTTGCATATATCTTTAAATACTGTAATTAGGGCAGTACCAGTTTCTTTTGTTCATCTCTTCTAGAACATTCATAATGCCGTCATGTTTATTATTATTATTTTTGGTTGCTGTTTCGGACCGTTGGAGGAGCGCTCTTTTGGCTCTGCTCATTTTCTTGTTCTGTTTTCAATGAAATCAATAAAAAAAAAAAAGAAAAAAAAAAGGTGTTTTAAAAGGAATTTGGGTTTTTTGTGTGCTGGTTCCAGGTGGGCCTGGGGCTGTAGCCATCCTTGGGCTTGAAAGTGAAAGAGGGAATTAAACCCCCAGCCCTGTGGACTTTCAAGGGGGGAAGAAGCAGCCTGAGTGTTGCTTTGGGTTCTGGGAGAAGTTGATTTTTATGTATTGTATAATTCATAGAACTCCAGACTGGTTTGTGTTGGACCTTACAGCTCCTCCAGCTCCAACCTCTGCCACAGGCAGCGACCCCTTACACTAGAACAGGGTGCT